CGCCGTGCCCCACGGGCCGGACCCCTGCCCCGGGCAGCCCTGACTCACCTGCCTGGCCTGGAGGAAGCTGCCTGGTTCCCCGGTGCTGGCGCCGAGCAGCCCAGAGCGCCGGCCGGCCGGGCCCGGGGATCGACCCACGCCCGCAGCCGGGGCCTGAGCCGCTGGGCTGGAGCCGGAGGAGGAATGAGTGCTGTGCCTGCGACGGGACCCAGGACAGGTGCTCCCAGATTTAAGGGAGGACACAGCTCCGGCTGGTCAGCTGGGAGTCTGCCCCTCCCGTGTTCTCACTGAAGGCCTGTTACACTGCCAGGGTCGAGGTGTCCCTTCAGCAATGCAGCATCTGTGACAGCCCTTTCTTTGTCACCGCCATGGCGCAGGCGCCTCGCAACTTCCACATAGTTGGAGCGTGCTGAATATTGCGCATAGCCTACGTTCGATGACTTCGGTACATTGATTACGCTGGTTGTGTCTCTGTCAGGCTGATACAGGCTAACCGCCAGGGTTAGGTCAAAAGAGCAGGCATCTCTTACGTGGGGCCAGTGGGCTCCCCCAGGCCACTTCCCCGCTACAACCAGTTTGTGTTCGGCAGTTGTGCTGGTTGGAAGGAGTTGGCAACATGCGGGAGACTGGACTCAGGTCGCTGCCGGACGACTTGCTCCAGCTGTCGGGTTCTGTGGCTGCGTGCTAGCACTCAGGACTTCCTCTGGCGCTGGCGCCTTGGCTCAGCTGCATGGCTTGGGGGACCGAGACGTGAGCCAGGGGCAGACACAGTGGGACTTCCTGCTCAGCTCTGGCTGTTGCGTGGCACCAGCCTTGGCAAGAGCCTTCTGAGTCAAGAAATCAATCCCACGGCAGCATCCAATGGACTACTACATCCTTGGCCACTAGGAAAGCTAATGCCCTCCTGGGACATATCCAGCGAGGTAGTCGGCACTGTGCAAGGCGCAGCAATTCTTGTGTGGAGCGCTGCGTGCAATTCTGGTCGCCTGCGTGCCCACGTTAAGAAAAAAAGAATCCTGTCTGGAACAGGTGCAGAGAAGGGCTGGGCGGAGGATGAGGGGACTCAGGACCCTGTCTCACAAGAGGGGCCTGAATAAAGTCTGGCTTGGTAAACCTAGGAAAACAGAGCTTGTGTTTGCCCCCCAAAAAGAGAAGGGTGCAACACCAGGGAGGGAGAAGACAGGACAACCCTGGCCACAAGAATATAAACTGGCAGCAGGGCTGGAAATGAGAAGGTTTCCAACCCTCAGGAGTGGGGGTCTAGAAGAGCTTTCCAGGAAGAGTAGCCAAGGGAAAACCCTAACTAGCTTCAAGGTGAAGCTTCATAAGTGTACAGAAGGAGTTATTTGACATGGTTTTCTGTGATTGCAAAGGGACTGGAGTCCATGACCCTGGAGGCCCCTCACTGCCTGTGTCCTGCCGTGGGGGTGCAAAGCAGCTGTGCCCCATGCTAGATGGCCAGCGTGCACAGGTTGCTTTGGGCTGCTCTGGTATAGCCAGAGTTCGAATTACACTGACTCTTGGTGGGGGGCAAAAAACCCCAAACCGCTTCATTGATTAGCAAGTCCACCCACGTGAAGGAGCATTGCGATCGGAGACCCCCTCCCCCCGCTCCCAGTTATGATTTTCAAATCTTATAGGGGGCCCCTTGTCTCTTATGGGGGGGCTCAGCACCCCCCCCCCCCGTGCTTCCCCTTGATTCGCACCCTGACTACAGCACTCTTAAGGGAAATCCTTCCCAGCACTGGGGAGTGGGCACCCTCTCCCAGCCACTGAGACCTGGCGTTTGAGTAGGAGCGAGAGGCGTAGGAAGCCAGCAAGTCCTTCTGGTACCAGGGGTGACGGGCTGTCTTGGAGAAGGAACCTGGGGGTGGACGAGCCCTCGTCTGTCACCGACCGCTGCTCATTCCACTCTGGGTGGCTTGTGAGGGCTGGGGGTCTCCAGGACCTGTCGATAACCTGGCTCTGGTGGGTAAGTGCTACAAGTGGCATTACTACAAGCTGCTTTCCAGGTCTCCGGAGCCGAGGGGCTGGCACTGTAAGCGTAGGCAGGCATGCTGCATTTTCTCCATCAGTTTCCTGTCCGTTCTAACCAAACAGAACTTCCTCCTCCGGTCAGGCACTGGTTTACAGCCTTCTCTGTGCCCGTGAGCACACCGGGGTGGACAGGGAGTGGGGTGTGATGAGAAATGTTTCCAGGCACCTTCAGGGCGTTTCTAGGCCAAGGTCATAGTTTCATAGATGCTCGGGTCAGAAGGGACCTGAGCAGATCATCAAGTCTGACCCCCTGCCATGGGCAGGAAAGAGCACTGGGGTCAAACGACCCCGGCAAGGTGATTATCTAGCCTCCTTTTGAAGACCCCCGGGGTAGGGGCGAGCACCACTTCCCTTGGAAGTTGGCTCCAGATCCTAGCCGCCCTGACTGAAGTAAAACAGAGGGGGCCCCCAGATTTGAACCTCTTGATCTGCAGTCAAATGCTGTAGCACTGAGCTATACCCCCTGGCACTGAAGTCTCTTGCCTGGAGTCTTCATGGGAATGTGACAAGGCTGAACTGTTTGAAGAAGCAGTGTTTGGGGGGATAGGAGACTTGTGAGTATGTATGGGGTGGTTGGATTTGTCACATTGATCCTGTTGGGGACGTGCATGTGAATTGCTAAGGGTATTTTCAGCTGTTGCTTGATGAATTCATCCTTTTCTGTAGCAGTTTAATGAGCTCCAGGTTGTAATTCCCTCCCCTTTGCATCTGCCCCTATGCTTTTAATTTCATAGAAGTATTTGAAATTAGAAGTGGCTCTGGATATGAAACATGACCTTTAACCTCCTTGCAGCTCTTCTGATTACAATATGCCTTTAGAAACTAGTGGCATCTCTCCGATCCTGCAACCTGGAAATGTTCAGCTTAAGTTACTTCAAAGGGCGTCCTTTTACCAGGAGTCACGCGTTTCTTTAGGGGATATGCTACTTGCAGATGCGACCTCGGAAACAGCTGCACGCTTCAGACGGAGAATGGGAGCCATCCAGCGCAGAGAGGAAGAGGAAACAAGCCCACGTTTTTGAGGCCTAGTGAGAAAGGAGACCGTCTTCTTGAATTGGGTCCCTGCCTTGTTTCCACAGCTGAATAATCACTAGCGTTAATATGGCCACCTCACTGGAAAAAGCAGCTGTTTCCTTGCTCAGGAGCTTCCAGTGCACTGTTAATTAACGGGAAGACAGGTCCTCCTTGTGCTCCAGACATCTGCAGTCTTTCGAGAGAAGAGTAAACAGCCTTCAGCCTCCCGCCTGCCCCATCCTGGACTGCGGGGCGTTTGCGCAGCGCAGAGACTTGTCCTGCCCCGCGCGGAGGGAGGGTTAATCCCTCCTTGCACCCGCAAGGGTTTGCACGACCCTGCGTGACCTGGGCGCGGGTGCTCCCCGCTTTGCTGGCTGCACGGGGCAGCTGTCGCTGCGCCACGCCGACCCCGAGCTGCCTGGCCACGTAGGCGGCAGCACCGGCCTGGCGCGGCCCTCGCT